GGAGAGCAGGGGCCAGGGATGAAGCAGATGGAGCAGGGGGGGTTGCGGGTATATTCTGCCCGTGGGCATAAACCCAAAGAGGAGGGAAAGTGTGAGCCACGAGGAACTCATGGCTGTGGGAACAGGATAAGGACAAGGGTTGGTGCCTGGCTGGAGAACAAGGTACCCGTCTGTGCAGAGGGTGGCTGGGCAGCCAGGGGTGCTTGCTGCTCCCTCTCCTCTATGTTTCTGTAGTCACTGGGGAGCCGCAAGCTGTGCTGAAGCCTGGTGCTGGCAGGGTCCGGGCGGCCAGCTTTCTCTCTGGGCAGGGAAAGCATGCCCAAGTCCTGGAAAAGATGCCCCCCATCCACTCCTGGCTGCCCGCCATAGGAGGGAACAGGGCCAGCCCCAAAAAGGGTCTGGGCAGGGACCCGGCTCAGCAGCGAGGAGGTCTCAGAGCTCTGCCTGGCTGAGCTGCTGGGATGCTGGTGAGCACCATCCTGATAGCCGAACTGCAACCAAAACACATGTCAAACCCCACAGGTCCCCTGCCACCCCATGGAGGAGGCAGGGGGTACCCTAGCACCAGCAGAAAAGTGCTGGGAGTGCAGCAGCTCCCTGCCAATCTCTACTTTTCTGTCCAGGCGAAGGTGCTCACCCCCCAGCTTACCTTGTGGTAGGAGTAGGGATTGAGCAGAGCCTCCTCGTAGCCCAGCTGGGGTGGGGAGGGCAGCAGGATGTGCTCCAGGTACCGCTGCACCAGAGGGGAAAGCAGCAGTGCTGGGGGCTGCTCCAAATGCTGAGCTGCTGGCAGGCCAGGGTCTGGAGCTAGTGGGGCTCGCCGGGGCTCGCTGCGGTGAGGCAGGAACCTCGAAGGCAAAGAGCGCTGGGGTAACTCACCTGGGTAAAGGGGGAGGTCCCTCCCCTAATCCCATTTTGGGGAGAAAGCCCTCGCTGCTCCCTTGAGCTCTGCTGGTGCTGTCCTACCTGTCCCTGGCCACCGGCTCCAGCGAGGGTGGCAGGCGGAGGCGGGGGATGCGCTCCATCTCCTGAGAGATCACATACTGGGTGATGCCATCCTGCCACGAGAGCCCTGCCGTGGGGGGAGGCTGTGAGACATGAAGGCAGCCTGGGAACCATGCCGTGAGTGCATGGGACGCCGTCCTGATATTCTGACCCTGTGTCCCATGGTCTGGGTTTGATCCCACTCCTCCTCAGCCCACCCTGGGCCAGCAGGACCGCAGACAGTTCTAGGGCCACTAGGCAATTCTACCTGGCATCCCTCCCTGCATGGTCGCAGTGACTTCCCCCATGCTCCCCCGCTCACCTTGTGCCATGAGATGCCGCAAGACATCCTGCAGACGCTGGAGCACAGGAGATGTGACCTGAAAGTAGGGTCTGTCCTGCACGGAGCCCACCTGGCATTGCCCAAACAGCCCATCTGCAAGAGAAAGAAGAGAGCGGGACTGGATGAACAAACACCCGACGTGAGGATCTCCAGGCACAGCCCCACCTTTCTCCTGCCATGCTCCTTGCACTGCACCCTAGGTTCCCCTGCAAGGCATCCCTGTACCCTTCACACACACTTGGGAAGGGAGAGGGGATCCCTGCGCCCCTGCTAGCCACTTACCCTGCACACACACCTCCTGCGGGGAGCACAGCCTTCGGTCAAACAGGCAGCCTGGGACAGACAGACAGACAGGCCAGTCAGCACAGCATTCAAGGCAACTCCAATGGAATCTGCTCATCACCAGCTGCCTGGGGGATCCCTACGCTCCAGGAAAGCAGCACAGGGATGCAATGTGGTGATGGTGGGAGGGGACACAGCTTTGTAGCCCATAGCAGAGACTCGGTGCCAGTCTTTTCTGCCCCTCAGAGACAAGATGGGGGCTGTATAGAAAGTATGCCTTTGGCTCTGGAGAGTAGGGAAGGCCTGGAGTTTTATAGGGTCCTGGCAGTTGGGAAGGTAAGACTGAGGCAGCAGAGACCTGCAAAACCACATCTGCTGCTCTCCTACATGTGGCACTACGAGGAAGGGATGCAACCCAGTGACACCAGAATCCACTCTCCCTGCGAAGCAGACCCCAAAGCATGGATGTAGTGGTGTTGGGGGTGTGGGGTGTGTACCTCTCCAACCCCTTCGGCGGGCAGCCCTTGGGCAGGGGGCGGCTTCCCCCTTCCTGTCCCCCCCCCGTTTCGGTCCAAGACCGTCAGCAGCGAGACAGCAGCAGGCGATGACTCAGCCCCGGATGGCAAGGAAGGAACGAGAAAACAACCGGGGGGAGGGGAGGGAGGGGCCCATCAAGCCCGCCGCGGAGGAAGGGGGCTAGTGGGGATGAGGGTCTTCGAAACCCCGGCACCCTCGGGCCAGCGTTCCCCGGGGCGGAGGCCCCGCAGGTGCGGGCACAGGACCCCGCTGCCAGGGGAGCCGCCAGGGACGGCGGCGGCGGGGGCCGGGCCGGGGCGGCAGGGCCGGCGCTGTCCGCCGTGCTGAAACGGCGCAGCGCTCTCCCGCCGAGACGCCGCGCTCCGCCGGGAGGGGCGGTGGCCCCGGCTCAGCGAGGCTCCCCCGGCCAGGACGGTGCTCGGCCGCGGCCGTCCCGGTATCATTCCCTGCTTGCTCCCGGGGGCGGCGGGCCCCCGCGGCGCAGCCGGATCCATCCCGGCACTCCCGGGCCGCTGGAGGACGAGGGGCGCAGCAGCCTCGGGCGCTCGGTAGTGAGTCAGCGGAGCCGGAGCCGTGCCGTGCCGTGCCGGTGGGCTGCAGCCCTGCTACCGACAGCGACACTCGAGTCCCCGAGAGCACCAAGCACGGACCACACGGACCGACCTAGAGTAGAGCGGGTGCACCGGCCCGGGCGGGCCGCAGTTACAGGCGGAGGGCGGCTAAAGGGCGGCATGGTCTCGGAGGAAGCCACGCTTAGGGCCGCTGGCCCGGGTTCCCCATCCCTGCGGCAGCCCCAGGCACCGGCTTTGCCCCGGGCATGAGCAATCACCGTTCTGCTGCCGTCCCGTAGCTGCTGGCTCTCGGGGCCGGCGGGGCGGCACCTCTACATCCGGCGGAGTGCCCCGGGTTTAGCACACCCGGCAGCCCCGGGAGAGGGGCGCCCCCGGTGCCAATGGCGCACCCGCGTTGCCGCTCCTGGGCCGCCCTGTCCCGCTATCCGCCAGGGACCGGACTCGCCGCTGCACGCCGTGACAGCAACCTACAGCGGCGGCGACCGCACCGGCCGCGGAGTCCCGTGCCCCGCCACTCCCCGGGAATCTCCTTCCGGCCCTCGCGCAGCCCGGGGCAAAGCCCTGCCCGGGGTCGCGGTCTCACCGTGTGCGGCGGTGGCGGCGGCAGCACCATCACGCAGCTGCCCGCGGCCGGCCAGGAGGAGGAGGCAGAGGAGCGCCCGGAGGAGCCGCCGCCCCATGCTCCGCTCACGGCCGCACCATGGCGCACCCGCCGGCCGCGCCCCCGCCGCCGCCGCCAACCCGCGCCCCGCCGCGCCGCGCGCCCCGCCCGCCGCCGCCGCCCCGCCAATGGCGCGCGGCGCGCTGCCGCGGCCAATCAGGGACCCGCGCGGCTGCCCTCAGCGCCGCGCTCACGCCCCCCGCTGTCCAGCGGGGCCAATCACGCCTCGCTCCGGGGAGACCCGGCCGAGCGCCCCGCCAATCACAGCCTCCCCGGGGGCGGGTCACGCCCTCCCCGGAGGTGTGCCACGGCGCCGGCAGCGCCCCCGCCAATCAGCGGCCGCCCCTTCCCAGCCCTGCGGCCGCACTGGCTCCCGCGTGGGACACGCCCCCGAGCGCCGCCCAATGAGCGGCGAGCGCGGAGCCGCACCCTCGTACCCCGCCCGGCGGCACCGCCCGGGCACCGCCCGCGGGCAGCGGCAGCCCCGGCTCGGGCACGAACCCCTCCCCGGCCCGGCCAGCAGCTTCAGTCTGGCAACGGCACATCCCTGCGCACACCGCAGGCTCGTTCCTGGGGAAAGGGACGGCCCCAGCGCTGCACGAGACACGGCCATCCTCCTGCCAGCTCTCCCTTAGCTGGGACCCCCAACACCCCTCGACAAGGGATTGTGGATGGGTGAATAGGTCTCGCTCACGGTTCCAGGGGAGAGCACAGGTAGGAGCCATGAGAGTCCCCAGAGGGAGCCATGTACGTCAGCCCCAGCCACAGTCATGGACCACTCGCTGGTGAGACAGAAATGCTTTAATGGCCCCAGGAGTAAACCCACTGCTACTCCTTCCTCGCCATGTTCAGTCGACCACCAGGCTGCTGCTGACTGTCGGCAGGAGCTCGAAGAAGCCCTGGAAGAAGAGAGGCTGTCAGGGTGGGCTGAGCAAGGCAGGGTGGGGTGGGGGGAAAGCAGTGGGGGCAGGCAGCAGCTCCCTGTCACAGCGTCATGGCAGGCAGCTACTTGCAGAGCAGGACCACGTCACCATAGTAACCCATCGCTGACTCAAGGCTAGCACCGGTTGCCATAGGAACTACTTAGGTATGGCAGTCACTGGGGAAGGCTGGGATGAGAGGGGGGCACCTCCGGAAGCAGCCAGTACCTGAGCTGCTCTAGAGCTGGGGAGCTCTGTGGGACGGCTGGGTTCAGCCCCAAAGCAGGGATTGGGTGGGGACATGAGGATGTGGGAGATGTAGAGCAGCAGGGAATGAGCCTTAGCACAGGATGGGGGACACAGGGCTCACCTTGAAGAGGGCGATACTCTGAAGCACCCCTGAGGTGCAGCACATCTCCCGGATGGAATGCATGGCCAGCTGCGGGCAGCCAATGTCCAGCACACGCAGCCCCAGGCGGGAGGCCAGAATGGGGCCGATGGTGGTGCCGCAGGGTGTGTCGTTGCGCACCATGAACTCCTGCACGGAGGCAAGACCTCAGCAGCTTCACATGCTACCCCATGGCCTCCCACACGGGCCCTCAGGCCGAAGGGAGGCGACCTGGGGCAGGGAAGCAGCACCAACCCACGCCAGGGTTCAGAGAAAGCTCCAGAGATAGGACAGACTCAGGCCAGGCTCCGTTCTGTTCACCAGCCTGCTCTCTGAGGCAGTCCTGCAGCTGGAGCCCCAGAGCAACAGGCAGCACAGAGACCCCAGTGGGGTCAGACACGGCAACGGAGCTTTGGCACTGATGAACCCGGGGCAGGGCTGCAGCCCAAACTCCTGATGTTCAAGGAGGGCTCACCCAGCCCCGCTCACCTGCAGTGGGACACCCACGCGGGCAGCAATGTCCCGGATCACGGCTTCAGTGACAGCTGTGGAGGCGTAGCGCTGGTTGCTGTTCACTTTGATGACAGGGCCCTGCACAAAGGAGGCACCGCAGGCCCGTGATGGGACCCAGGAATAGTCAGTGGCCCTGGAAACACCCATGCCCAGGCAATGCTGTACCACTCCAACCTATCAGTCCATTCTCCCTTTCCTGGGTGAACCCATGGGGATGGGGACAGTGTTTCCATGGGGACAGCCCCAGCTCAGAGCAGAGAGGAGCTCTAAGGACAAGACTGGGATCCCAAGTGATTAACATCAGACATGTGGCATAGTCAAATCCCATTGCAGGATAAACGTTTTCCATTTGAATTCTAGGCAATCCACAGCGCTGCAGGACAGACTGCAACCATCCTAGAACAAAGCAGAGCGCTGCCCTCACCTTGTGGAAGGCTGGACGATGATTCTCCTCATGCTTGTCCCTGCAAAAGAGATGTAAGAGTTTCACACTACAGCCTTCCCTCCCTGCTGCAACAAGGACTGTCCTGTCTGTTCTACCTGGGGAGTGAAGGGGCTACGTCCCACAGGTGGCAGGGCAGGGTTAGGGTCAGGCCTGTGGCATGGCTCAGACTACTCACACATAGTTGGGGTGCACAGCGTGGGCCATGTCAGCACTGATCATGTAGGACTTGGCCACTGCCTCCTCGAAGGCTGTCAGGTTGTGTGGCGATGCCGAGATCCGGCGCAGCACCAGCTCCGTTAGCAAGGACTCTGCGCCCTGTGCACTCTCTGACCCTACCTGCCAAGGATCACCATCAGCACAGCCCCTGCAGCACCACAGGGGCCAGAGGAGTGACAGGGTGCTCCCTAAGGCCAGCAAAGCAGCTCCCTGCCACACCAGTGCTTCCCACCCCTGCCTGGGCCACGTTCCATATGGATGTAAGCAAATCCCTGCTTCCTCCACTGGGGTGTGGAATTTCTCTCCTGTTAGGCATGGCTGGGGAAGAGCAAAGAACACGGAGCCCCTTCTGGTGCCAGCCAACCCACGGCTGTGCCCCTCGCTCACCTCCTCGTTGTCATAGAGCGCGATGAGACGCACGTTGGGCTCCTGGGAAAGGGACGAGGGTGCTGCACATGAGTCAATCAAGGCCTGCAGGATTAGGGGGGAATGGACATCACCCTGAGTGCCACTCCATCCTGGGAATCTCAGGACTGAGCCATCAGGAATCCCCCAGGAGAGCCCAAAGCATGGAGAAAGGGAGCTGTGGGCACAGACATTGCCCAGCAACAGCAGGAGTCACCCCTGGGAGCTGCTGGGAATCCCACACACCCAGCAAAGGGGGCATCCAACCACAGGTCGTCCAACAATCTAGACCCACCCATTCCATGAGAAGACAACCCCCTGCAGAACCTTTGGCCAGCCCAAAGCTGAGCTGGGTGCACTCCAGATTCTTTCCCCTCTCACCTGCAAGGCGCAGTAGCAGCTGTGCAGGTTGTCCAGACGTGGGGAGAAGATGAATTCATCAAAGGCACCACCCAGCGTCTGCAGACAGCCAAGAGGAGTAGGGCACAGGCTCTGGCTCACCAAAAAGTACCTGCCACTGGGTTCCCATTCCAGTACCCTTATCTCTGCCCCTTAGGAGCAGCTCCCTCTAGTTCCATTCAGCTCCCAGCCTGGGCATGCCCCAAGCAAAGGACATGTGCCAGGTAACACTTGTGTAGTGCCAGCCTGTAGGTTGTGCACAGACAGAGGGAGGCTCCTGCCCTTACTCACCGCTGGCTGTGTATCTGCCAGGCATAGTTCCAGCTCCACAATCTGCTCTGGTTTCACCCCCAGCTGGGGGCAGATCAGGGAAAGCAGAACAGGGCTGTGCCGCTCTGCCTGGGAAGAAAGCAGAGCTGTGGGCAGAGCAGGCAGCGGATGGCAGGAGAAATGCCTGGTTTCCCTTTGCAAAGCTGTCCCTGACCCTGCTTATGTTGGCAGAGTCCTCTCTCCTACTAACATCGCCGATGTTCAAGCCCCCACCTCACCCAGGACAGCTCTATGCCCCTGTGCTAGCCCCCCGTTCCTGCCCTGCCTCCTCAGGGAGATGCACCCCTTCCACACTGGCTGCAGCCAAGGGTGAGAAGAGAGAGATGGCTGAACAGATGTGCCATGTACACAGCCGTGAGGCAGAGTGGAAGGTTACCAGCAGTCCACAGGGAGAAGGGGAACCTGGTGGCAAGTGCCCGAGGACTGAAAATCAAAGTTTCACTAGTATGAGGTCCTTGCAAGCGTTGCTGCTGATCCTTGGCACACAGCTCACCTGGGCTGCAGTACTGCAAGGTGTGGACTCCATAAGCACCTCCTTTTCCAGCTCCTCCTGCACTGCAGTGGCCAGAATGGGAACCCTGTGGGGATCAGCAACATTAGCTCCCAGAGCTTTGCTCTGACCTGCTTGGGTCACACACTGCCAACCCTTCCTGGCATGTTTGCCTTGCACCTCCAGGGAATGACTGATATGCCAAATGGAGGAAGAATACACATTTTAAGCACAAATCTATTGTACCACGTCAGGACAAGTGTCCTTTCCCAAACCCTATGCTTGAAAGCATCTCCTGGAAGTACTCCATGGGGCTAAAAGCCACTGCAGATCTCCCCACTGCAATGATTGGCTGCCAAAGGGAGAGCTGAGGTGGGGCTCTGCTTTAGCTGGGTCCCAGCCCTCCCAAGGGCTGGCCAGGAGTCAGGGCTGAGCCAGGCCTTACAGGTGGTGCTCGGTGTTGGGCCCGAAGTTCTCATTGATGCTGCGCTGCAGATGGATGGCCAGGTGAGGAATGCGGAGGATGGGCCGCTCCACACGTACCAGGCGCTGCTCCAGGCGCCCCGTGGCTTGGTCCTGAAACACAAGGAGGACTTCTGGCACCAGGCCTGCAGAGCTGAGAGGTTGCAGCAGGTCCCTCTCTGTGTGGGGGCCAGTGACCCAGTGCCAGAGACACACAGCTATCCGACCATGCATGCCCTAAACCAGACTCACCTTTATGATCACTCTCCCGGCCACGGTGAGGTCACGGTCGAACCAGGTGTTCCAGATGCCCCCTCCATAGGTCTCCACACCGACTTGCACTACGCCCACCTGTCCCCGCTTAGAGCGACGCTTCACCTGGGCAAGGGCAGAGGTGTCACTGCTGGCACCATTCAGTGCTGGGGAACGGGCAGCTGGTGGGAACCAGGCAGCTCATGCCCAGAGCCTCATTGCTGATGCTGCCAGCACAGGGTGCTGCGAGGGGCTTTGCAGGACTGGGGACACAGAGACAGCAGCAGGCGGAGCAATGCAGGGGCTGCTCTGGGTGACAGATTTGGGAAGTGGAGGGAGCCAACAAGGATGCTGCAGGGCACAGGGGTAGTCAGGATAGTTTTCGCTTGTGGCATGAAACTGGAGGACCCCAGAGAAGGACTCAGCACCCAGACGGGCAACCTTACCCTGAGGCAGGGGCTGTCGGTGTGGGCCCCTAGCAGGCTGAACCCATTCCCAGGCTGGAACTGGCCGCCGACGGCGAAGGCGATGAGGGTGGAGTAGTTCCTGGTTATGAAGTACTGGAAGCAGGGGGCGGAGGTGAGGGCTGAGGCGCCCCGGCCTCCCCCGCTCCCGCTGCCCCGGCCCGGCCGGGCCCACCTTCTGCGCCGGCCGCACGTCCCAGTGCTCCGTCTCCTTCAGCTCCTGGAAGCCGGCCTGCAGCAGCCGGCTGCGGCATTCGGCCACCACTGTGGGGGGAAGAGCCGTCAGGGCCGCCCGCGGGGAAGGGGAAGAGGGCCGGGGCGGGACCGGGCGGGTGCTCACCGTGGTACGGCGACGGACTGCGGTTCACGAACTTCACCAGTTCCTGCGCCGCCGCCTGCGCCGCCGCCTTCGAGCCCTGCGCCGCCGCCTGCGGGCACCGCCGTCACCGCACAGCGCCGGCAAAGCCCCACCCCGGGCCGGGACCCCCGCGGCACCGGGAACCCCGTCCCGGCGGCACCGACCCGGCCCCGTCCCGCGCCCGCCACCCGCCCGGTACCTGCATGGCCGCCGCCGCCCCGCGCCGCTTCCCGCAGCGCCGCCTGCTGGCCTGGAGGAACGAGCGATTGCCGGCGCCCCGCAATCCGCGCCCCGCAATCCCAACTCTGCACCCCGCAATCCGCACCCCGCAATCCCAACTCTGCACCCCGCAATCCGCACCCCGCAATCCCAACTCTGCACCCCGCAATCCCAACTCTGCACCCCGCAATCCGCACCCCGCAATCCCAACTCTGCACCCCGCAATCCGCACCCCGCAATCCCAACTCTGCACCCCGCAATCCGCACCCCGCAATCCCAACTCTGCACCCCGCAATCCGCACCCCGCAATCCCAACTCTGCACCCCGCAATCCCAACTCTGCACCCCGCACCCCGCACCCCGCACCCCGCAATCCGCACCCTACACCCTGCAATCTGCACCCAGCCCCGCACCCCACAATCCCAACTCTGCATCCCGCAATCCGCGCCCCGCAATCCCAACTCTGCACCCCGCAATCCCAACTCTGCACCCCGCAATCCGCGCCCCGCAATCCCAACTCTGCACCCCGCAATCCGCACCCCGCAACCCGCAATCCCAACTCTGCACCCCGCAATCCGCACCCCGCACCCCGCAATCCCAACTCTGCGCCCCGCAATCCGCGCCCCGCAATCCTAACTCTGCATCCCGCAATCCGCACCCCACACCCCGCAATCCCAACTCTGCACCCCGCAATCCGCACCTTGCGCCCCACAATCCGCACCCTGCACCCCGCAATCCCAACTCTGCACCTCTCAATCCGCACCCCGCACCCCGCAATCCCAACTCTGCACCCCTCAATCCGCACCCCGCACCCAGCAATCCCAAC